ATTGGTGGCTTGTGGCAACTGGTATCCTGCAAGGGTCAATATGGGGGCCAGTACTGTTAAATGTCTTTATAAATGGTTTGGATGATAGGGACAGAGTACATTCTCAACAAATTCACAAATTATTCCAAACTGGGGGGAGTGTCAATACACTGGAGGCTAGAACTGCTATTCAGAGGGTTTTAGTCTGGAAAAATGGGCTGACAGAAACCTCACGAAGTTCAGCAAAGGCAAATGCAAAGTCCTGCATCTGGGATGGAATAACTCCATGCATCAGTACAGTCTAGACACTCAACAGAAAGCAGCTATCAAACACAGTGACCTGAGAGTCCTGGTCAATGACAATTTCAATGTATGTCAACAGTGTGCCCTTCTGACAAAGGTGGCCAGCTGCATACTAGGTTGTATTGGTAAGAGTGTAATCAGCAAGTCCCTGTTACTCCATGAACTAGGCCCTGGCATCACCTAGAATGTGCTTGCTGGTACGTACCAAATGTGTATTAGCAAGCATGCTAACAACCAAACAGAACGGACAGTTATGAAACAATGTTTGAGTGGCCCTCTTTAACTTATTGCCTTCATGCAGGAACCTACAATCAACACGATCCTTGAGAAGCATACAACCTCCAAATATTAAGCTGTAATTATAATATAATATAGCAAGTATTATGTTATGTAGCAAGATGATTCTACAGTGTTACTCAAAGAACTTCATAATATAATATATCTTTATCCCTTCCGTGTAGCTGGTATAGCAAAGAAAATTATATAATCTGTGAAAATGGTGAGAACAAGATATTTGGCAATAAAGTTAACATCAACATAGAACAGAGATGAAGACATATGTAAAGCAGAACCAAAACAGAGTACTATAGATTAGAACCTCATGATTCTTCTGCAGCTCTTGCCTCTCTAACTTGACCATCATATGCCATTTTTGTATGAAGTTCAGAAGCTGTAGTTTATCCATGGTAATTTTTAAAACCTTGCGTGTAAACATTAGCATGTGTCTGGGCTAGACTCTTGGACATACACTTCACTCCAAAGACAACTAAACTATACCAAATTATTTGTTTATATACTTAACACTATAAATAGCCCATAACTGGATGTATACATTATACGAATCTATTAAGAACCATAATTTCTAAAAAAAATTTATTTTATTTTTAGATTGTTTTTATTATTAGAAAAATTTGCACATATCAGTGTCATTTCTAAGAAATTATTAATTAAAGCAGAGTCAAACATTGCTTTTCCATCAGAGAACAGCAATGAAAAAACATTAAAGAGAATTAATGGAAACAAGATAAAACTGAAAATGTTAAAGGAAAAAGAATGGACAAATATATAGTGGTGGTTACATACTTAGACACCTCTCAAATAAAGGCTCTCACAAATATCTGAAATTTAGTGAGACATTTTTAGAGCCCAAGTATACTACTGAATGGAGGAATAAAGTAACTTGGAAAACAATATAGGATTAAAATGCATGGTTGTTGACAACTCCAAACTTAAAATAACAAAAAAACCTCCCCCCAGACTGGTGAAGTTTTGAAGCCTGTTTATTAAAATTAATTGAGACTGAATATATCATTTTGCCCTGGCACTGTAGAAAACAAATGAGAACTTCACTGAGTATCTCTGAATCCTACTAATCTCCATTTTCAAAGTACTTAAGAACACAAGTGTCTACTTTTTTTGTGTACCCAAATAACCACAGCACTTTAAAAAATCATCCTTCTCGGTATAAATTAGAATTCTTCGAAGAAGTCTATAGTACTTACATTTAATCCCTGGCATTCAGAGAGATTTAATTCTTGCAAGTTCTTACATTCACCTAAAAATAATTTAAAAAAAAAGTCATATTAAAGGTGAACAGTTCAAATTCTCAGTGTACAACATAAATATAAGCATTCCTATTACAGATTCAATCCACCTAGGCCAATATCCTCCCTGAAACCATGGTCACAGCAGATTAGTGAGAAGAAAGCACAAAAAACCAAAAGTAGAATACAAAGTTGGAGTATGCTGAGGAAATGTCTCCTCTTACGCTCCATCAACTAACAGCTGGCTTAGGAACCAAGCTGTTTCCAGTTTTATGTTACCAAAGGACCAGAAAGCTACCTAATTAAGCAATTTGGTGTTAGGAAATGCCAAAATTAAGTTTTCCACATAGGTTTATCATTCCCTCCCATTATGACATCAGTATCTAATTATATACATAAACAATTTTTTCCCTCTGAAAGCAGAGATACAGCAATCAGACCAACTGTAGGAAAAGCCCTGCTTATCTTCTGCAGGTATGGAATTTCAGAGAATTTAGCTGCCTGAGACAGTGTCTTCTGTGTGCGTACAATCTAGTATTTTTAGAAACTCCTATTTTGCAGAGATCGTTGCAATTATAACAAAAAAATGAAAGATAGATGTCTGACACTAGAAACAACAGTCACACATCCCTTCAGCCACTCTTCTGCCAAATTTTGAGTCTATCCTCCAAGGTAAAGATGCAAAACCTCCTATTAAACATAGGAGTTTAAACTATTAAACTTTTTGCCTTAATCTAGTCTTCAAAAATAACTGATCTGTCTAAACTGAAATGAAAAAAAATAGGCCTGATACAGATATCTAATATGGAAAATGCAGCATCAAAGGTTTTTAGAGTTAAAAGAAATATATTAAAAAAATCTTCAAAACCACATTTTCACATGGTAAGCCAAATATATGTTTTCAATTGCAATCAAGCATTAGTACAACAATAGACCTGTATATTCTTTTCTGTGGGGACTGTGACTTCACTGACATCCTGTAATACCGTCTAACTCAGTGCCTTTTTGAAAAGTAGGACAATACTGACAGGGATTGCACAACTCAAAAGAACCTAAACAATTAAAATCATCCTTAAGGCTGTTAAGCCACAGAAATTACATACCTCTTACACGTTTTTTGCCCTAGCACTAAATGAGACACAGTTATAATTTTACATGTGAACCTGTACCTGCGACTGAAAGCAGCTGCTCATTTTGGTATTATAGCTGAGTATAATTTAGTTAGCAGACAGAATGTAATACTAGTAAAAAATTCCAGTTCAGACACAGGAGATGGAAAGGAAGAGGAAAGAATACTTCCATAATTATTTATTACCTTTCCTCCCCCAAGTCCTTCTTTTTCTATTTCCGAGCTCTCCTGGATAGAATGTGCTATCACACTACCAGAACAGTGAGCAGTTCAAAACAACACAGAGGTTCCCAGTTATGATTCAAGTTATTAAAACACGTGATCAATTTACACTGACTAGCATACAGCTGCCAAAAAGTAACAAGTAAAATTTCATTTTTCACGTGAGGGATAAAGTCATCAATGCAAACACTCATTCACACTGTGAACTAACAGAATCTGAATGCAGATAGACAACTGGCAACTACAGGAACAAAATGGAGAAACCAATCAATGGGTTTTCATAGGTAATATTAACAACTGGCCACATGGATTAGAGGGATGTAGTAGCACGCATAGACAAGACTGCTCCATCTGTCTAATGAGTAAGAACTGCACAAATACTGAGAATGCCTTATAGTTGAGATGTGGTTTAAACTGATCTACCAATTTGTTTAAAAGTGAAGAATTTCTTTGCTTTCAAAAGAATTTTACCTAGTATTAGTTGATTTATTGCGCCACCTTTCCTCTAGATAAAAACAAGTTTTTTTGGAGCCCAAAACAATGGTGTTTTAGAAACAGAACATCTGTGCAATGATCTGCACTCAAAATTGGGATTCACACCTTCCCAGGTGCTAAGGTCAAGAAGGACTGAGCAGAAGGCAAAGATGTCCGCAATCATAGAGAAAAAGTAACTAAGTAGTTAAGCCAAACAGTGAAGAATTAAAAAGAAGTTTCAGAAGGAATGATACTGACTAGCAAAACTAGGAAATTTGTGAGATGGAAAAAAGTTAGAAAATACAAAAGCCTGAGGGGTTAAAATGTTTCTAAGGAAATGCAACCTTGTGGCCAATCTTCACTGAAATGAGGGAAAAGGGCAGTGCACAGGAGTACCATAGGAAATTCAGGAGGGAACATAGGCCAAAAAATTACTAAAAATACTGAGGCAATTTTGGACATGGTTGCAGGCAGCAGTTCTTGTCTTCCCCTAATAATAATTCCTAATAATTGTGTTTGGCTTTCTTGGAAACGCAAAAGCTCCTGGCTTACCCCTCTGTACTCTCCCTCCTCAGGTGGGCAGACCTGTAAGCAGGCCATGGCCAGGACCTGCAGGTTCTCTTTGCATTCTGCCTTACACTCAAATGACATATAGCCTCATAGGCTCTTGCAAAAGATTATTTTTGTGTCCTTCTCAGAGCAGCACAGCCAACTTTGTCTACCTGACATGGGCCATGAGAGACGCCGGGTAGTAGCAGGGCTAATTATGATAAATTTGGGCTCAACCTGAAAACAAGTCCACACTTGAGCGCAGTCTAAAGCTGGGGGTTTGATAGGCACTGGATGACTTTCCTTGGTCTGGTTCTGTATGTGTTCCAGTGGGTCAACACCCAGAAAGCTGGAAAATATCAGCTTCAAGCTCCTCTTTCAAGCTGATCTTCCAAGATGAACATAAATACAAAGAAGATGCTGTTTTCCTGAACACATGAGAACCTTCTAACAAAGATCAGTTAGAAATTGGTCCATATAGTTTCCCATGTTTAATCAAAATGAATGACAGTAGACCAGAGACAGTAAAAACAACAAAAAAAGAGATAGAACATTAAATCTTCAAAGTATTTGTGAAGCTCCAAGTAGTGTGATGATTGAGTACTTGACTGAATGTTGTGTATTATTCACATGAAAATGCCTGTTTCATCTGTTCTAATGTTTTACTTTTCTTCCGACACAGGCATCCGTCCCATATAGCCCAGCTGTACCTCCTCAGATCTGTACAACACTAAGAATATCCAAAAATTTCAACTGTTCCAGCTGTCACAGAAAATAACTGGGGCCAGCTGAATGTCAGGATGCAAGTAGTTACTATTATACTAGTACTTCTTCTTTGTAAAGCATCTGACTGTAGGAAGACAAGGAATAGAAGTTTGAGAAACAATGAAAGGGAAAACATCTTAAGGAAAGCATCTAGCACTGTTAAGCGCAATGCCCGAGGCCTACCGTGTGATATATACACTTATCTTCATGAGAAATACCTAGATTGTCAGGAAAGAAAATTGATTTTTGTGGCGCCTGATTGGCCTGAGGATTTAAAACACATGCTGCTAGCAAGAAACAGGATTCGTAAATTGAAGAATAATATGTTTTCCAAGTACAAAGTACTGAAAAGTCTGGATTTACAACAGAATGATATATCAAAAATTGAGAGCGAGGCTTTTTTAGGTTTGAATAAGCTTACCACACTCTTACTTCAGCATAACCAAATTAAGAGTTTATCCGAGGAGGTTTTTATTTATACGGCCAGTCTAAACTACCTACGTCTTTATGATAATCCCTGGCATTGCAACTGTGAACTAGAAACTCTTGTTACATTACTTCAGGTTCCAGCAAACAGGAATTTGGGAAATTATGCCAAGTGTGTGCATCCAATAGAACTGAAAAATCAGAAGCTAAAGCAGATAAAAGCTGAACAGCTATGTAGTGAAGAGGACAGGCAGGACCCCCAAAACATAAAACGGGAGAAGCCTGAAGCTGTCAAACCAGAATTTGATTCCTCTTCGTGCCACATGTATGTGTTTCCTGTACCAACTTTGAATTGCAAAAGAAAAGGTTTGTATCTGTCCATATAACTGAATGAATTATTTTAATATTCTAGTTCCCTTACTACATTCACATTTTACAGTAAATTAGTATCATACCAGTACTTGCTTTACTTACTTTAACTAACATTGTTAATTGTTTTTCTCTCGTAACTACAAGCAACAAGGAAAAATTCTTTCTGCATTTTACCTCTGCTCTGAAGCCCCAATTCCACAGATAGTCTTTAGTGCCCTAGTATAAGATATCCAATGACAACCAACAGGAATAAAATTAAGCACATGCTTAAGTTACTGAAGGACCAGCACCTCACTAGTCCAATTTTACAACTATAAACTTACTATTCAGTCAAATTACAGCTGTGCTGAAATTGTTGTACTGATAGAGAAAGGCACAGAGTGTCTTTTCTTCTTTCCAGTGTACAAACACAAAGATAGCAACAACTTTGACAAAAGCGAGCTGTGAAGCAGGACTGGAGCAGCCAGCTGTGCTTACAATGCCCAAAGGAACCTGATTGCAAAGGAGAGCCATTGCATCCTCACATTTCCTGTGCAAGATTTCTTCTACTCAGGGAAGAAATTGTATGCTTTTGTTCATAAGGAAATACATCCTCTGTCTTCTTCCTCCCAGCACCCAGCAAACATTTCAAAGTTGAAGGGCCTTCAAGAAGTGTTTTTCAGACACTTGGATCCATTCCATTCCTAAATCCTTCTCAGGCTCCTAAAAGCCACAGTTAAGCCTTAAGGGTAAAACAGCTGGGACATATATCAACACAAAAGTACACATTTATTCGTGCTTTATATTTCCCATATTTTATCCCATGATGAAACAAAGCAAACAACAAAACAAATGAGAAGAGAGTCGTTCTTTAACATTACAAATCTGAAATAAAAAGCATTACTAGAAGTAGCCAAAATTGGGAGGATTTTTCCCCAACTTTTGCGAAGCATAGCCTGCAATACCAGATCACTGCAGTATGTTTTGCCCACTTGTATCTTGCAATGTGTTTGCTAAACTTCTATTTGCTAAAACAGTGACTTAAATTTATGTAACAGCTCTGTGTGCCTTTATTCTTGGACCTTAATGCCAGAGACAAGCTCGGCAGTCAGTATAAGAAGACAATACCTAAATATAAAGAATTAACGATTTCAGTATTTGATTACATGGTTTATCTACTATGTATGTCATAAAAAATGGTCCATGTTTTTACTTTTTTCCACCCTGTTAAATTCCTTTCTTCTTCCTATGGCTCACTTTTCTCTTTTTCTGTTTTACCATGCAGCTACTACATCTTTTTTATTAATGATTTATGCTTTTTTACTGGCTTACATTTATTAATTTCTTAATCTTCACCTACCTTACCTTTCCTTGTAGATAGGATCTTAATTATTAGATTACAGATTATGTTCTTAATTATCCTTCATAGGATCTTAATTACATCATTATTACCTTATGTCTCCAGTAAACTGTGCTACTGAACAAAAACCAGGCATATATTATAAATCTTAATATAACAAAAGACTGACCTTCCAGCTCTCCCCATTTAGTGGTATCAAAGAGATGAGCTGAATACATGAATATACTCAAAAACTTTTGGCAAGAAAAATATTACTTTTTTCTCCAAGTTCACAGAAACATTCAATGTGGTCTGCTCTCCATGGGAGTTTCACAGGCTTTTACGGTATTTAAAAAAATGGTTTACTGTCTTTAGTACTAATAAGGAAGAAATAAAGTTACTTCAACCTCTACATGAGTGTACTAGAGCGTACAGGGACTCCCTCCTTCAGGTCAAGAACTAAGTACATGACTCCAGGACTTCCTGAATGTCTAGCATGGACACATTGAGTACGTCCAATATTTTTTAGGAAGTATCAGATCTACTGTGCATATGCTTGACAGCTGGATGTAGATATGCCACGGACATTTGGGATTTCTGAACATATGGTAATCTTTGATGAAAGCATTGTACTTACTGTCTTTGCATATGATTACTGTGCAGCAGATGCACAATTTCATTGGAATTTTCATCAGAAATAGGAGTATAATGCACCCAAAATTCTGGGAAAATACAAAAATTTCTCTAAATCCACGTGGATAAGATTTCAGAGTAGGAAAAAAGGTGCATCAGTTGCCAAACCAGTAAGATGACATGAAAAGCTGCAATCCGTTATTCCTTTGCAATCCGTTATTCCTTTACAATGGAGGGGATAGAGTGACGAGCAGTATACCAGTACTATGTATCCCTAAGGAGTTACAGATCCCAGGTCAGCAGCTTTCAGTTAATGTCAGAAAGCTCATGAAAGAAACATCTTAAAAATACATACAACCATGTGTATGTTCTCCTTTTTGAAGAACTTCTTATTTATATCTCATCAGACCAGCGATATGCCAGATCTTTCAGTACTTCAGAATGAAAGTATCCTATGTCTTTGACTCTGTTTTACCAAAAAAAGCAACAAAAGTTGGATGCAAAAGTAACTTCTGTTTGCTTTTCTGCAAAAGAATTTGCATTTGCAAGAGTAGCTGAAAAAATCTGCTTTCTAGTACTGCCAAACTCTCCAAGTCTCTAAATTCAAGAATTATTTGCACTTGTTTGGTGACAAATAGGCCCGGAAACTTTGACATCTGCACAAGCAGGAAGCACTCCCAACCAGAGCACGCTGGAGTAGTTGTAATATTTTTGTATTTATAATACCAAATGTCTGCTCAAAATCAGATATCTGCTATGTTGCTTTAGTCTCGAGAATACCTGATGCATTAGACATCTTCAGAACTTCAGAAGTACACTGACAACACAAATTTCAGCACAGATCCAGAAACTACTTGCTTTCATTCAAAGATGGTCAAATAAGAGATACTGCTCATTTTCTTGTAATAACAGCCCAGGATCAGAACACTCATCGAGTAAACATAATCCTGGAGATTAGGTTTATTAACATTATCCTGAGAGGATTCAAACCACAGTTTGCACTTCTCAAGAATTTGCCCTTACTACTGGACTAGAAGCTATTCTTTCTGTAACTCTTTTGCAAGGAACACTGTAAGGATGCGTACACAGATGAGTGAGAGGTGCTTGGCTACTTTGGTAATGCCAATGATACAAGTAGGATAGAGAAGTAGATAGACAGAATGCCACTATGCTGCCTGGACATACAAAAACTGTAAGTATCGTAACAAATATAAAGACTTAAATATTACTAAAACACTACATAACTGTAACTACAGAACTATAATTATAACTATATATTACTATAAATACTATAACAACTAGCATTTTTATCACATACCAGTGAACATTTTTTAATATAGTTTTTTTTTCTTTCCTTTAAATGATCAAGCCCTTCACACACACTTTTTATTAGTATAGTATCTTCACTACCTACCCTATCCCTATGCGAATGAATAGTACAGTTCTAATAAAATAAAAATATAAAACACAGAAAGAAGCTTTACTATAAGCACTAATGAAGAGGGCTATTTTCACATGAAATGTAAAGATACAAGTGAACAAAGCAATGAAATTCAGAAGTTGAAAAAACATGTTGACACTAGTGGTGGGGATAAAAGGGAAACAAAACAAGAAACAATGCTAGACTGACAAAACTCTGTGTGGTACGCAACTGTGATACCTACGCAGTAAGAATAATCTAAAGCTGACACAAGTTATGTCTTTTTCATTTTTTAAGATTTAAAGAAAGTTCCAGGTAACATACCTCCAGATATAGTTAAACTTGATTTGTCCAACAACAAAATTAGACAACTACGAGCCAAAGAGTTTGAAGATGCCAGTGAACTGAAGATATTAAACCTAAACAGTAATGGAATAGCTTACATTGATCCTGGTAAGAATAATTTTAAATATTCATTAAAAAGAGATTTGTGTTCTATTGATTATAAACTTTTATAATGCCTCTATCAGATATGTGGGAAAAAAGGATTTAAAAATCTAGAAGTTGGTGTAAATTTTACCTTTTGTACCACACAATTCATAGAGTAAAGGTTTGCACTGAAATGTATTCCTCATAGAAATCAATGAAGAGAGACTGATTTCAGCTGCCCTTTCTTAATACTTAATAAACCAACCAAGTGCAAAAATTTAATTCTGCAGACTGAAGGCTAATCATTTCCCAAAATGCTAAATAGCTGAATGAGTTTTTAAATATCTTTGCCAAATCTAAGAAAACTTGTCATATAATGAGGCTGCTTTTAAATTATATTGGACAATAAAGTAATAAACAAACCAAAAGGATTTAAACTCTTTTGGGTTAAAAATCACTACATATAATTGCTCTTAAGTTATATATTATTAGAACTCAAGTGGCCTTGTTGGCAATTTGCTTATCGCCTATGTGTATTCATTTTTTAATTACGAAAGCAGACACAAGGAGGGACAGATAGAAAGTATGAAGCAAGAAGAGCCTTCTCTAGTAGCATTTTGGAAGTTAAACAGCAGTAGAAAGTGGTAATATCAGTAAAATGGTACTTACGAGGTTTAACATTACACATAGTTGATTTATTTAAATTAAGACTTCTGCCATTAAATGAAACAGCATACTTGCAAAAAGTATGAACTGCTCTCTGAAATGTGACTCAGGAGCATTATTATGAAGCTCCATGTTTATTATCTTCCATATCTTAAAATATTAATTTAAAGGTTCCATACACACACACACACACAAATACACACATACATACAAAACCTACCGGCCCTGCACATTGTCTAATACATAGTCAATTTCCATATTTCTACTTCTGTATCACGGCAATAGCAGTAGACTTCTAGGAGCAAATCAAGCATTCATTCACCTTCGCTGTCCCTATTCTACACTCATGCATGGTCATTAAGTGTTTTATAACTTTACCAGCAGTACAACTCCCCTAATGTTGATATATTTATGCCAATATGTCACTTCTCAGGGCACAAGCCATATTTTAAAGTTCAGGCTTTGAAAAGTCTTTTTTGTAGCCTTTAGCCAAAAAAAAAGTAATAAATGCATAATTATGAAAATGTTTTTCCTGTTGCAGATATGCATGGCTTTTTTTAACTTACCTTTATAAGGTACCAATAACTATTTTTCTATTGACTAGCTGCTTTTTCAGGCCTCAATAACTTAGAGGAGCTGGATCTATCAAACAACAGCTTGCAGAATTTTGAATATGGAGTACTGGAAGATCTTTACTTTCTGAAAATACTGTGGCTGAGAGAGAATCCTTGGAGATGTGATTACAACATTCATTATCTTTTCTACTGGTTGAAGCATCACTACAATGTTCACTACAATGGCCTAGAATGCAAAATGCCTGAAGAATACAAAGGATGGTCTGTCGGAAAATATGTTCGAAGTTATTACGAGGAGTGCCCGAAAGACAAGCTGCCCATTTACCCAGAAACTTTTGATCTGGACAAAGATGATGAGGAATGGGAACGACACAAAGAACAATCAGTTCAAACAGTAAAGAAGCATGGTGTAATTGTCACTGTGATAGGCTAATAAGGGAATCCCTTTTTAGAAAAACATGCTGTTTACATTTTTTGTTAATTATACTGATTGTTTGTAGGACTAGCTGCCTACAAAGATTTCTGTTTATTGCAGTTAATAATTACAGAATGGCATTAGTTATACAGCATCCTTCATCAAGTAATTGATTCTGACAATTTGTTCTGGACATTCTTGTGAAATATTTTGGCAAATATTTGAAACTATACAGTAGAAATTGATAGACACAAATGTACATAATATGGTGGGGAGGAGCTGCCTTATGTATGAACACAGCTTATGTGTTGACACAGAACTTGCTGCAGGATTGTGACCAAGACAATTTTTTCTTGAATGTATTGACAGTTCTTTGTATCTATCAGTTTCCTGAAATATTCCCAGAAAACACTTCTAAGATTTTTGTATCAGCTTCCTGTTGTTTTATTGTATATGAAAAATCGAACTGGAGACTAACCTTAAATACAGTTCTAGAAAAACAGGAATGGCAGTTGTTATACTGATTATGATTCAAACCCAGAAATTGGGTTCTACTTGCTGATTTACCAGTGTTCCTGCTCAGTCTTGAGGGAATAACTCAGGCTCTGCCTCTTCCGTACCTGAGCTGCCTGAAACCATGAGTAGCCAAAACATGGTTGGTTCCCAAGATCCAGCTCCACATGCTCATATTTGCCTTGTTTGGTTTTTCCAGCAGGCAGAGCTGAAGTCTTTCTAGGAAGCATTTTAGGTTGTCGTGTCAGTTTGACACAGATTACATGACATCACTTCTAGATGAAGAGGACCACGTGAAGGCTGCTGTGGTCTGCATCCAACACACCAGTGCCCATCCAAATTGAAGGTAAGTATGCTTTTGAGTGCTCACTGAGAGTGTGGGACATTCTCGAAGTCCGCCCTTCTCCCAGCTCATTTGTAAAATGCACATTATAGCACCTCCTTATCACACAACTGTCTATGTGAATTCATTAAAAACTGTGATTATTCTAACGCTATGGTAACAGAGCCGTACAAATGCCCCAGCTTAGTAGACAATATCTCTGAAGATAAAATTCCTTGCTACATAATATACTGACTAAAAGTTCTTTTACAAAAAAAAGATGTTATTACTAAATGACTATTCTTAGCTTTTGCATAATAGTTCTGGTTTTTTAATTTCAGCATCAGTTAATATTGAACTAGCAGAACTAGTGCCTCTTAAAGACAGATATTATAAACCCTTTTTTACACATGGAAATGATAAGTAACTCCTCAAGCTCACATGGTGGACAAGTAGGAGATGCTGGGTTAAAACTTCAGTATTCCCAGCTCAAGACCTAGACCAATCTCCTGCTCTTAGATCAGTAAGAAATACGTTAAGTGCAGGATAGAGGTTCAGGGCCAAAACTTTAAATATCTGTTGGCTTTCATGGAAGAAGTTCTGGAACACTCCAGGAGGAAAATTTGCTCCTTTAAAGATCTGCACACAATCCACTTTGTGCATTCCTCTGGTGCTTTAGCCACAAGCCCAAAAGGTCACACATTTTGTTTTAGAAGTGCAACACAAAGCACTCAGCGCTTTTATGCTAACATGAAATAAAAGAACAACATAAAGGAAAAACTCAGAAATTATGAAGGCTGGTAAGAATGCCAAAGAATCCTTAAGCAAACACATCCTATTATTAACTGCATTCCTTCATGTCCTCCATTACTCAGATTATGAATACATTTAATGGTGCTTTATTGATAAACTGAATTTAGCTATTTCTTCTGCAACACCTTTTTAAAACTTTATAACAAATACAACAGTATCTGACTCATCACTGCTCCTGGGAATATCTTAAGCATTATCTTAATTATTCAAGGTTAATCCTGATAAGATGGAACACAGATGAAAATCCCATTTGGCCAGTAATATTGACTAAATGGGGCATTTTCTAGGAACTTAAAAATGCTGAAAGAAAAAAAATCTGTCATAAGTAGTAGCCAGCATTAAGTGAAGTACTCCTCCTCCACTCAAATTCTGGAGGATTTCAGTACAGAATGGAACTACTGGGAATGATTGAAAAGGACAGACAATGGAACCACAGCAGAACATCTGTTATTGGCAGCACAGCCAATGGAGAAAAGCTGAGTAGGAAAAAATGAATTTATAAACCATGTTAGGTTAATTTCTGCAGAGTCAGTGTTAAGAAAAAAAAACTAGCTTGAGGTAGGCTAAAGTCTGGGTAGAAAAGGCAACCCAGGAAAGGAATATAGGAAAAAAGCTGGGTCTCTGATCTCTGTGGTCAGCAAAACGTTACCAGTTGGAAAAGCAGTGGAATAAGACTGTGGACCACAAGCAGTGGCCTAATTGTTGTAAATAACAAGTTCAAAGGCCCTGGGGATTCCTAAACAGATCACAAAATGTCCCTCTTAGGACCAAGGCTAAAACCTGGGGGTCGCAGTGATAAATAGGACAATTGTTCAGTAGAAGACAGAGTTAAGCAGGGGGTGTGTGATCATTCAGGGTTCTCAGTGGCAGCAGAAAGTGTTGCATCTGCTGATGGTTCAAGGGGGATGATGAGCTGAACATGCTGCCTATATCTAACAGCACAAGATGTTTGGTGACAGCTCTTGTGAAATCTGTAAGTGAGGGACATATCAACAAGGACACTCTAGAGGAACATGGTTCAACAACTATCCTGCAAATAAAGGTTTCAGTGTGAACTTGTGAAATCAGTGTTATCTCAGAAGCTCCATGAAAGAAACAGTTGTGCAATAACACCAAAATAAAATTCAATACTTCGGAGTGGATCTGTCTAGACCTCTGAGAATCAAAAAGTGAAAAGACTTCTGGCAGTCAAGATGAAAAACTTTTCAGCAGAGAAGAATGGACTAAGTTTTGAATGCTGGAATTGTCCTTGCTACTATTTTCCTTAGATGGGCTCTGGAGCTTTCAAGGAGTAGCTAGAAGTTCTATTCTTCTAACTACAATGCACTATAGTTTTATTCCTTACTGTCTAATGTTACTGCATATTTCAGCTTTTGCAACGATACTAGAGAATTGTTATAAAATAGATACAGGAGTATTCAAGTGGCGGTTTAGTTTCCTATAATTAAAAAAAGAGGTGTGTGTGTGGGAAGCTCTCCTTGAAAAACTAGCTGGAACCCAGTAGGGTTTTCTACATGTTGGCATTTTCAGACACCCATACTGCGGATGTGGCAGAACAGACAGTAAATGCAATTGCAAATAATATAAGAACACAAGAATGGAAATACGAGATTGGGGCAAGGATTATATAGGCTAGTATGTTCTCCTGACAATGTCTAGTAGCAAATTCTTTGAGAAAAGCCTGTATGAACAGGAAAAGCATATAGGAACTATGAAGATATAGTACAGAAAGAGGCAGCCCAAGGAAAAAGACAAAAATGTATTTGAAAAACATACATATGGGGGAAATGACTAAGTGTTGATAAAAACTTTAGCATTACAGGATTAATTGCTATTTCTCTGAGCTTCTCCAAAATGTACTGTAAACTAAAGTACACCCTCCATGAAACACCACAGCCACAAACCACAATTTTATGTTGACACTTCTTTGTTTCTGTACTATTTAATCACAAAATTCCCAGAAGCACTTCCATGTCTAAAAGAAAATCATGGGCCTTCCTCTTCCTTTATATGCTTTTTAAGTCCTTTCTTTCAGTAATTTCTCTCTTGATTCCCCTTCTTTCTCTGTCCATATCGAGGAAATAATTGCACGATAGTGCATTGTCTTCCTGATATGCAGTATATGTACTAGGAGTGCTGTCTTAAGGGATGAACTATAGTACTCTATAGAAGCCGTGCCCCTCTCTGTACACAGCACACATGAAACACAGGAAAGATTATTTTGCACCATGTTTTGCCATGACAGGGTGCAGAAAAAATGGATAGAGCTGCCAATACTGTGACCACTACTGGGAATAAAACACTTCAAAAGCTTCTGAGGAAATTTTAGCTCCCGCACTATGAATATGAGTGGCAGCTTTTAAATGCAATTCCCAGTCACACTTGGAAGTCAAATGATTCTCTAAGATCACTGAGTGGGTGGAGTAATACCATAAACAGCCGAGCTGTAATCCATGCATCTCATATACTTATTTTTCTTTGGCACAATAACACATTCATTTGCCAAAGACAGTCTGAGCTGGAATCATGCAACATTCATATGTAGATATCAAACAATGACTACTATTTCACGCATACACCACATACCAAAGTGGCAGTACACAAAAACATTTTTTAAAAATTGCAGCTAATTAATTTACAAAAAAATATTAACACGATTAGTCAGCCGATCAGACCTAAACCCCAGTTAATATCATTGCTGTTTTACCATTAACAATAAAAACGTGTTGCCAAAATCTGTGTAATCTTGGATTTATTTGGAAAGATGAGGTCAGAACTGTAGCTCGGGGAAGTTCGAATGGAAAGGTTCATCACATCTGTAGCCTATAACTGAACAGACAGTTCAATGCAGTTTGTTAGCTGAAGAAATGTCAAAGGAAGAGAATTTCAATATGATTTTCAATCACTAAAAAAAGATAAATAGTTTTGCAGCAATTTTAAACCACCCACAAGAGCTTCAAAAGAATGGCAGCAGTAGGCTGTATGATCAATATCAATGAGTTTTAACAGAAGAAATATGTTATTAATCTAAATAGCAACAGTACACCAATATAAATGTGTTTCATTCTTAAAAAGAACTACTATGTATCTTCAAAATTAGAAGAAACAGCTTTTTAAATCAATGTTTTCTAAAAGCCCCTGTGGACCGTCATGTATGATTCATCACAATTAGTTTAAAATTAATAGCTCTGAGTAGATGTAAATGGACATAATCTTTGATTTTGAGCCTACAGAAAACATAAATTATCAACAAAAATGGAAAATACATAGTTTGTAGGTACACAAATGGAATTTAGTGCTTTTGGTAGGTAAGATAAATGGAAATGGATGGCAACCAACATACTGATATTCCAACTGATACAACCAACAT